GGCTGGACTCAGGGCTGCCCACGTCCTGCGGCCCCCGGGAGAACTTGTTGGGGCGCTGCACGTGGCCGACCGCAGCACCTGGGGCAGTGAAATGACAGGTGACTCGCCCCGGTTTGGGTGGGGCGGAGGGGCCGGGAGCCTGGGCCTCTGCGCCGGTGCGGGGTGGGGGGCGGTCTCTGAAAATCCTTGCTCAATTCTCGGAAGTTCCCTGAGGAGCGCCTGGGTTTCATCAGAACTTCTAACCACAGTGGAAGGGACACTTAGTGTGCTGGGCCCTGGGCCAGCTGCTGCTTCAGGTGCTGCATCCTGTGACCCTTCCGGTGGCTCAGGGAGGGCGGCTCCAGCATCTGCGTGTGCACAGGTAAAAGCTGAGATCCGAGGACTTAACGCTGCTTTCAAATCTGGGCTGGGAGACCCGAGGGCTCTGCCGCCTCTCTCTCATTCATTTGCTCACATGTGTTCTATCCTCTGTCTTCTCAGCTCAGACCCAGGATGATGAGACTCTGTGTTGGGGGCTCTGGTGACAGAAGCCCTGGAGAGTGGCGGGGAGAGGTGCCTGGCCCAGCCAGGGAGGTCAGGGAGATGTCCCCGAGCTGGGAAACGGGCGTGCCTGTCGGCGCCCAGAGCCTCCCGGGCAGAGGGAGCAGCAGGGGCGGGGGCCCCCGCTGTGCCGGGGAAGCCCAGGGCGGTGGGCTTGGCCCGAGTGTGAGGGGACGGTGGGGGCCGCCGGGTCTCCGGGGATGAGCCAAGGATCTGGGCTTCCCCGGGACTGTGGGGTGTCCCTGGGGAGATTCAGTGTGCGGGAGGAGCCGACTTGGTCAGAGTACATTGCAGGGCATTTGTTCCGGAGGCTGGCGTGGCGCCGGCCTTGGCGGTTTCGCAAGGGAGCCGGACAGGGCTGTGGGGCCGTCAGAGAGCAGAGGGGCCTGGGGCTGGCCTCTGCCGGCATGTGAGCCGTCCTGATAGTCGGCGCCGAATAGCTGCTCTGCTCGGCGCCTTTGTTCCTTTTGGAGAGCCCTGGGCTGACCGGACTGGTGGCACCTGGTGACCCACACATAGGCCTTTGAGTGGATATGGGAAGGGAAATCGCCTTGGACAGAAAGACTTTTGAAAAGAAAGCCCTAAGCAGTGCAGGGAGGTTTTCAACAAGAATTTTCAACCCAGACATTTCAAAGATTTTTCAGCCCTTTCAACTGGGGCCGATCGGGCCCTGCTGGAGAGCCGGGCTCCAGGCTCGCCTCGTCCCTTCTGCAACCCAGCAAGGAAGCAGCGGCACAGAGAGGTCAAGGGACCGGCCCAGCGTCCCACGGCCGAGCAGCACTGCCTGGAACGCGTCTGAACGCTGCTTCTCCTGATGCCAAAGCCCAGGCTCGGCTCCGCCGCAGCAGCGCGCCAGCGGCCGAGCGTGAGGACGGCGAAAGGGAGGCATTCAGGGGCAGCTGGCTCCCTGGGCCAAGAGGGCTCGGCCCTTGCCGTTGCCTCGGCCACGTGTGTCCTTGCTCAGGCCGGGCCTGCCTGGCGCCCGCTCAGCATTTGCTTTTGAGGCGACCGCCTCCTCAGACCGTCCTTTCTAGAGCACCCAGCTTAAAGTGAGTCCTCTTCCCGATCACTCCTCTCCCCATCCCCCGGCTCTGCCTCTCCCAGGGACATTTCCTTATCGGACAGCATCCTTTTGATTTACTTGCTTTACTTTATTGCGTCGCTGCCCCTGCCCCCAGTTCCCTGAGGGCAGTGACTAGTTTGCCTTTTTTTTACTGCTCTTTCTGGCACCTGCATAGGAACAGCACTGGGGGGTGGGACCGTGGTGAAGAAGAAAACGCGTTCATCCATTCATTCCCCTTCCTCTTTAGTTCCATCTCCCTTCTCACCCCTGGTGCAGAGCAGGCGCTTGGTGGTCCAGCCGGGACGCCTGAGTGTGGACGGAAGCCGGCCGCCCTCCCCAGCGGGTCCCACTGCCCCTCCCGCCTCCGGCTGTCGGCTGTCGCTGTTGCCGGCTGGCTGTGTTGTTCTGTGGACCAGGTGTAAATGCTTCCCCGGCTACAGGCTGTTGGTCGGGAATCGCGGCTCCCCCTCCGTGGATCGGCTGCCTTCTCTGCATCGTGGCTGAGGCTGCTGCAGCCCCATAAATATTAAGTGGGTATTAAAGAAGCCTCCGCATTCCCTGTTCCCCTGGTTTCTCTGAGCAGGGCCCATGGCGAACCCCCTTTATGTGAAATGCAGCATTTCACTGCGGCGTGCCTCCGGGGCGCCTTGCCGCCCGCCTCCTCTGGCTGAGTCCCCTGGTGCAGAGCGGTCTCCCCCGTCTCCGGGCACCGGTGCAGCAGCCACGCAGGGCCCCGCTTCTGGGCAGGGGTGGGTGGAGGCCCCTGGGACCCCCCTTCATGAGGGCTGTGCCCAGCTTCGCCAGCCTCTTGCAGGCTCGTGGGGTAGGAATCGCCGGGTGGGGGGGGGATGGCTCTTCCACCTTCAGCTGAGTCCTCTTGACCCCCACCCCCTCCTGGTCTTTGGTGGCACCAGGGAAGGAGACCGGCCAGATCCGCTGCCTGTTTGTCCCTCTCTTCGTCCCTCCATACCCCCTTCCATCCCTCCATCCCTCCTTCCATCCACTCACTGGTTCAGTATTTCTGGAGTATCTGTGAGAAGCCCTGGGGGGGGGTGGTGATGCTAAAATCATGGCAATCGCTAACATTTATTGGGCACTTACTATGTGCTGCGCTCTGTGATAAACAGTTGGCTGGAGAGGCCTCATTTCACCTTCGCGGCCGCGTGGGATGGGTTCCGGCCTCCTCTCGGCGCTGTGGGCTGTGGACGGGGAACCGGGGCCTCTGGGCGGCCACACTGCTTTCTCAGGGTCCGTGAGTCACGGTCCTCGTCAGAGGAGCCGTGGAGAGGATTTCGAGCAGGGGCGTGTGGTGAGTTGGCATTTGAGAAAATTCGGGCTCTCCTCAGGGCTCCTGGAGCTGCCGCCTTCGCTCCCACCAGACAGCCCTGTACCCCAGACGCCCCCGCCGCTGGGCAGGCCTCCGGCGCACGCGGGTCACACGCTGAGCGGGGCGGCGGTCATGGCGGTGATGGTGAATGCCGCTGGGTACCTGCCAGGCCCTGTGCTCTGAGTTCCCACTCGTTTAACCCGCACAGCGGTCCTGGAACACAGCGGTATTTTTCAACTCATTTTCCAGAAGAGGAAGGTGAGGCTCAGAGAGGGTAGGAAGTTGGCCTAAGGCCACACAGCAAGTCAGCACAACGCGGGGCTGAAGCCCCCGTGCAGATCTCAGGGACCGGCGCCTGGGGCTCGGAGTGGCCCCCGGAGGCTCCTCCCCAGGTTCCTGGCAGGACGGCAGAGCTGCCCCCCCAGAGGCTTTGTGAGCCGGGGGCTGGGACACCCACTCCTGCCCCTCCTGCCCCTCCTACGCCCGCCCTGCCGGCTCGCTGAGCTGCGGCCCCGGCTCCCTTAGGCACCAGGGTGTCCTGGGGGCAAAAGCAGACTCTTTTTTCCCTTGTCTTCCCAAGTGGAGAGAATGGAACTGTGCTGCGAATCAGGATGAGGGCTTTGTTTTTTGGTGGGGGGCGGGGTGTTGAGGGGAAGGATATTGCTACTTACTGCACCTTGTATGGGCATGATTGTCGAGATTTTTTAAAAATTAATAATCCATTTCTCCTTTGCACTTAATTAAAATGTCCTCCAGTCTCTAATTTTTGTCATTTTCCTAATCTAATTTGTTTTCTGACGGTGTCGATTTTTCTTCCATGTGCAAAGCAAAGGGGATTTTTCTTCGTTTGACGTGACTGGGAGGTGACTGTCCAGGATAGCTTAAATTACGCTATTTTCTCCTTGGTTAAATGCAGCACAAATGGAATCATCAGAGGATCTTAATGACCAAAAACGGAAACAAAACAAAACAATGTTCAAGGCATTTCTTATTTAAGCAGTTTTAAAAAATGACCACGACACAGAATGACAAATAGATGGCCTTAGTGAGGAGCTGTTGGCCGTAGTGTCCGGTGCGTGCCGGGTAGGACGGTGGCGTCTCCAGGGTTTTATGTAGCCGACTTGGACTCAGTCTAAGGGATGTTCCAGTCCGGCACCGGCAAATGCAAACCCCACTTTCTAATGAAGGAAATTAAAAAAAAAAAAAGATAGCATACAGACCGTGATTGGAAGTGATGCAAGGGCTGACAGAATTCCTGAGATCCTTAAAAGGCGTTGGGGAAGGTTTTTTTCTTTTGAAGGTAGAATCCTGCCCGCCTTTGCTTCCCCCACCGCCGGCCACCTCTGAGCCGCGCTGGTGCATGGCAGTCTGTCTGGGAAAATCCCTCTACAGGCCCTGCTAACAGGTATCTGTAGGCAAAATCGATGTTGAGGAAGGAATTTGTGCCTGGGCCGCCCCACCTGCTCAGGCTTGCAGGGGTGTGGGTGCGGGGCCCTGCGGGAGTGGGGCTGTTTGGGGGTCTGACGGGGTAGGGGTGCAGTTGGAGGGGAACCCTTCCCATTCCCGGATTCCGAAAAGTGAAACCGCCCCCCGCCCCCGCCTGTTTGCAGGATGCCCGCCATTCCCCTGCCCCGACCCTCTGGCACTCATGGGCTCTGGAGGGGTCTGTCAAAGGCCAAAAAAAAAACCAAAAAAAAAAAAAAACCACCCTTAAGTATTTAAACATGTTGGACCATGCATGCATCTGTCCACAGCGTTGTGGGGTTTTTTTGTCCTCTCCCTCCTTTTCCTTTTCTTTTTACCAAAGTATATTCATCAAACTGCTGAGTTGGAAAGATTTGTAATGAGTTTTTGAGCTGTACGACTGTGTTTTTTTCCTCTCCCCCCCGCCCTCTCCCTCTTTCTAAATCTTCATCTGACATTAAATAAAGCAAATCCCAAACAGATTAACTGTCGCATGGTTCTGCTCCGTCTCCTCAGTCTGTTTCCAGGTCTGGCGCGGGGCCGGGCGGCGGCGGCGGCGGAGGTGGTGGCGGCGGCGGGAGATGCCCGGGCGGCCAGCGGAGGTCCATGTGGCGCGCTAGGTGGGATCCCGGCGTCCTGAAGGCAGAGGCCCTGGCCCTCCTGCCCTGCGGCCTGGGCATGGCGTTCTCCCAGTCCCACGTGATGGCCGCCCGCAGGCACCAGCACAGCCGGCTCCTCATCGAGGTGGACGAGTACAGCTCCAACCCCACGCAGGCCTTCACCTTCTACAACATCAACCAGGGCCGCTTCCAGCCGCCACACGTGCAGATGTAAGTGGGCGGCTGGCGGGCGCCCGGCGGGGACGCGGGGGGCGCGGGCGGTGGGGCCGGGCTGGGCTCACGGACTCCTGCTTGTTGAGCGAGAGGAGGCCGGGATGCCGGGGTCACCGAGGCTCCGGGCGGGGAGGGACGGGCCAAGAGTTGGAGAGCGATGGCCTGTGGCCGGTCCTGGCCGCGAGTCCTGTTTCATTTGGCTGGGAGAATGTTTTACAAACATTAAAAAATGAGGTGACTGCATATAAAAAACCCAGACTTTTGGCTTTGCCTTACAAACCCAAAGGGCCTGGCAAACCCGGGCCTGCACGTCCTCAGGGCGGCCTGGGAGGGCGGGTGGGGTTCCTGAGTTGCAGCTGCCCCCCTTGGTATTCGGGTTGGAGACCTCTGATCTGATTCGCATTCCTCATCCTGCAGAGCCGGAGGCTGAGGCCCTGGGAGGGGGCGGGACTTGCCACAGGCCCCAGGGCCTGGCTCTCTTCCCTTCCCTCCACCCCTCGCTTTCTCCAGATCCACACCCTGCCCCCCCAGCACGCCCCCTTCTAAGGGCAGGGGCACTTCCGAAAGGACTGGGGAGCTCTGCCCCGTGCCCTCTGGGGCTGATGGGAAATACAAGGGGTGCCCCACAGTAGGGCCATGGTGAGAGCACAGACTCTGGACCCCGTGTGCCCAGGGGGATCCTTTCCCCTTTTCTGTTTTTCCTTGCCATCCAGAGAGGCGCGGGTGGCCCAGGGTGGGGTTGGGTGAATTCCTGGCCCCGCTGCGGTGGCTCCCTGTGTTCCTAGAAGACCCCTGCCCCCTTCCTCTCCGCCCTGCAGGGCTCACCTGGTGAGGAAACAGGGGCCCAGACAGGTGAGGCGACCCACGCAGGCGCACCAGCAGGTGAGCCCCAGAGCCGGCCCCAACGCAGGCTGCCCGCCCTCAGACGGGGGCTCTTTCTGGACGCGGGTCCTTTCGGTGTCTGTGGATGTGGGCGCCAGCGCAGGGAGGTCAGAGCCGCGATAGGGACGCGGTGTCCAGCGCTGGCCCTGCCGACCGCCAGGCTGGGTCAGACGCCACTGTGAGGGCACAGACCCCGACCTCCCCTAGGCCCACAGGCACCGTCTCGCAGGTGGGCGTCCTAGAGTCTGTCTCTTCGGGGAGACCAGAGAACCCAGCACGAGGAGACTGAGAGAGGTAGCTGTGGGCTGCCCGGAGGAGGCGTGGGTGGGGTGCTGCCTCGCTGGCTGCAGGCTCCCTCGGGACCCACCCCCTGTCGTGAAGGCGGGGCCCAGAGAGGCTGTTTATGGGAGGAGGGGCTCGGGAGGGCAGGGGGGCTCCAGGCCTGGGGGCGGGGGCCAGTGCCGGAACACCCTTGTTCCTGTGGCCCTCGCTCTGGAAAACGCTCGTTCCACGAGGCAGAGGGCCTGGTGCGGCCAGGAGCTGCCTGCTTTGTTGGCTGGTAGCGTTCTGCTTGGGAAACGGCCTGCGGTTTCCATTGGAGGGCCAGATGGGCAGACCGGGGCAGGACAGACGGACGGCCCGGGGTCGCAGGCCCGCTGTTCCCCGGGACCTGGCGGCCTGGCAGGGAAGGACACCTTCCCAGGCCAGCCTCTCCCTTTTGCCGATAGGCTTAGGCCTCCGGGGCTGGGCGCGACCAAGCTGGGGGTCCCTGGGTGCCGGCTGGACCCCGGCCTCAGCGGGAGCAGGCTGGAGCCCCGGGCCCTCAGGCCGGGTGGTGGCCTACGTGTGTGTGTGTGTGGCCGCGGGCACGCCCGTGCAAGGCGTCCCCAGGCACCATACGTGATGCCATCATGCCGTGTAGCGCCAGGCCAAGCAGTCATTGTCAGCACTGTTGCCTGGGTCTCACAGACACACACCGGCCCCCAGGCCCCGAGCAGAGCCAGGGAAACAGCACATCCTTGGAGGCCCGAGGGGCTGCGGAAGGACCCCCTGGAGAAGGCGGCTTCTAGGTTGAGACCCAGAGGAGGATGGGGAGTGGGCAGCAAGTTGGAGAGGTCTTGGAAAAGGGGGTCTGAGAACTGCAGAAACGCACAGTCGGGTGGAGGGCGCCCCCGCTGGCCAGGCTGCGTCCTGAGCGAGGACAGTGACAACGAAAGAGGGCGGTTTCTCCGCTTTAACCCACGCGCAGCTGCGGGTCGTTTGTGGGCTCGTCCGGTAATTCATTTGTGTGCCCATTCTGGATGCTTGTGAGCGGCTGTGTGCGGTTAGACACGCACGCCCCGAGCTGGTCTGCCTGGGCTTGAGTCCTGGCTCCGTCTCCTGTCTACCAGCCTCTGCCCGTGCGGAGCTAACCGCTCCCCCCGCCCCCAGACGGTGGCAGACAGCACACATGTCACACGAGGGTGTGATGGCATATCATACTGGTAGCGAGACGTGCTCTGGAGAAACGCTTGCTGGCTTTTGTGGTCGCCCAGCGGGGCGGTCAGCGCGGATTCTCCCGGGCCTGCCCACACCCGCCCTGCCTGGCTGCCCCGTGCGGCGGGCTCCTGCGGCCGGGGCCGGGCTTCCTCAGGCGGTCGGGCGCGCCGGGCCCGGGGAGCGCACCCGCCCAGCCCAGGTCTCCACACTGGGTTCAGGGCTTTGAAACACGACTTTGCCCAGCGCCAGGCAAGGACTTGGGGGCTGCTGCCTCCCGCCCCTCTCCCAGACCCCCGCCCCAAGCGCCGGGGAAGCGGGCGGGCTGCCGGAGTGGCTGTGCGGGTTTCCATGGCGAGAACCACAGAGGCAGGCAGGGGAGATGGGTGCCACTCCCCGGCACGTGATTTATCAGCGCCCTGGGCTTTGTCTCTGGGCTGAGGGAGTGAGGGGGCCTTATTTAATAAATCCACAATTTATATTTAATAACAACAGTGACAGTCCAAACGTGGCCTCCGACTGAGCTGCGTGATTTATGCAGTTGCCCCCAGAGGCCCTGGTGGTCACGAGGCCGCCTTCGCCTGAGTCATGAATCTCTGGACCTGGGCCCCTGGGTTTCAGGCCTGAGACCGGCGGCGCTCCCCCCGGGGCCGAGAAACCCTGCGGTGGCCTGGCAGAGCCCCTGCGGCCGCCAGCCCTTCTGTCCTGGGGGGCAGGTGGCCGTGTGGCCTGGCGGTCGGTGAGAAGGCACGGGTGCTTCTGGGGGTTCAGGGCCATCCTGGGGGTCCACTTGGAGGTGCCTGGGGGCTGGAGGCAGGCATAGTGCTTCTCTCTGGCTGTTAAAGAGTCGCGCTGGCGGACCCCCCAAGGCCTCCTGCTTAAAGACCCTCCAGGCATCGGGCTGTGCGGAGCAGGTGGCGGGGGGGGGGCAGGGGGCAGAGCGCTGCGACATGCCAGGCCTGGGGCGGCCCCTTTGTGTTCCTGGCTGTGCCGGGTTGGCACACTGATCCCCTCTCTTGATGAGATTGAGGCTCCAGAAGGGACTCTGTGGCCTCTAGCCCTTGGTGCGCTGAGAGTCTCTGGGAGATGGAGAGCGTCAGCCTGGAGCCTGGGGAGCGCGGAGAGGGGCGAGGCAGGAGGGCTGGACCCCGGCTGTGCCTGGCTCTCAGCCGTGTCAGCATCCCTGCCCTGCAGGGCCCACGGCGCACGGCGCAGCCGCACCCGCTGGTTGCCTTGGACAGCCCGTCCCTCTCGCCCCTGGCCTTTGCACGTGCTGTTCCCTCTTCCTCCCTGGCTTTCGGCCCTGCTGATGCCGACTCCCTCCTCAGGCCTCGTGTGGCTGCCACTTCCACGGGGAAGCCTTCCCTGATCCTGAGCGGGCCTCTCTCGCTCCCTCGGCCCCCCGCCCCAGCTCCGGCACTCATGGCACGTGCTTCAGCCTGCAGTTTACACATTCATTTGTGGGACAGTCTTCTACACGTCCCCCCCACCCCCCAAGCGCAGGCGGGGCCCCTCGAGCCCAGTGCAGCAGACAGGAAGAAGAAAGCAAAGGGAGGCAGCAGGAGGCGGCGAGCATGGCCCGGGAAGAGCGGCAGATCAAGGAGGGCCTCCTGGGGAAGGTGGCACAACTCCTGGCCTCGGAGAGCCAGCCATAGAGAAGGCCAGGGGGTGGGAAGGAAGAGCCTGCAGGGGGTGCAGGAGGGCAGTGCCGTGCGTTCACCTTGGAACCAAGGCTTCGTGGAAATGCGCCGGGCAGTTGGTGACACTGAGCCAGCGAGTCACTGCCCCTGCTTCGGGCCTCAGTTTCCCCACTTGGAGGGCGAGAGGAGGAGACTGGAGAACGTCCTGTTCTAAAACACCTTGGCCAGTGCCTACGCACACGGCTGGACGTGCAGCTGGAATCCGGCTCGAAGGGAGGAGTCCTCTGTCCTCTGCCCCTGACCTGGGGAGCCCCCCTTCCCCCAGAAACGGGGAGACGGGGGAGGCCAGCCTCTGGCTCTGCCTCTGCCGCCCGGGGATGGTTTGGCACCAGGAGCTGCATTTTGCAGGCAGCTAGTGCTCCTGGGAGCGGGGCAGTGGCACGGGGCCTGGGGCCCAGAAAACGGCCGCGGGGCCTTCCCTCCAGGGCTCTGAGCTGCGAAGGTCCCCTGAGCTCTCCCTGCGTCTCAAGGAGTGCGAGGGTCATCCCCAACGGGCAGAGCAGGACTGATGGCTGCAAGGGCGCAGGGACCGGCGAGGGGCACCGGGCAGTGGCTGTCCTGGCTTCTCCACGGCTGCGGCCTGGCTGCCGGGGGAAGGCCCCGCGTTAGGCTGCGGGCAAGCCCTGGGTCTCAGGCCTCCGAGGACAGCGGCGGCTTTCTCTGGTCCCTGCAGAGCATCACCGGGAAATAACCTGTTTGTTTTGTGTCACCGCCACAAGAAGGTGTTGCGGTGAGATGCCCAAGTCCCCGTTGTGAAGACCCAAGCTCAGGTCTGCTCTTTAACCGACCAGCGGGGGCCTTGGACGTGGGTCTGACTTTCCAGAGCCTCGGTTTCTTGGGGCTGCCATGACTCCCAGGGTTTTGCCATTAGAAGTGTGGGAAACCCGACTTGAATGGTCTTAAAGAAGAAGGCGGGTTTACTGGCTCACGGGATTAGCCAGGGCGTCCAGCCTGGGACCCGGCGACAGACGCAGCTGGGCCTCGGCGTGGGGCAGGACAGTCCAGCCTGCCCTCCCTCTTGTCTGCTCTCTCCTGCCCCCCCTCTCTCCGTGCCTCGACTCCTCTTGTTCTTCTCGCCTCCAAACACAGGCTCGATTTCTGGGAGCTCCAGGAGGTGGCCACATGCCCCTCCCTTGTGTCTAGCAGGTGCCTGCCATTTAAGAGGCACCCAGCGAGCATTTGTCCATACTGAGTGGATGAATGACATGCACGAAGGCCGGGCCATAGTCCTGCCCGGTGTGGGTCCTGGAACCAAGAACTGGCTTCAAATCTTCAACTCCGCTGGCTCCCACAGCAGAGGTCCTAGGCGAGGCAGCCTTTCCGGAGCCTCGGTTTCTCTCTCTGCAGAATGGGCATGCCCCTCGTGCCCTGCTCCGCGGTCGCTGGGCAGGCGAAGAGCATGAATGCATGGAGAGGGCGGAGCGGTAACGCGCTCCCAGTTCTCGGGACTCGTCCCCACTGTTCCTGCTGTTACGCGGTTGAGTTTTTGTTACAATCCAGATAGCCGGAGGCCAGTGCTGGGAAATGAGAGTCTTTATTTTCTCTCTGGGGATGAGTAGGTTTGCATCTTCACTGAGCTCAGAAGCCTCGGGGTGGAGGGAAATAGGAACAGAGTTAATTAAAGAGCCCGGGCTCCGGCAGCGGGCCCAGCCCGAGGAGAGCCTCTGTCCTCCAGGCTGGCGACGCGGGCGGCCCAGAGGGGATCCTTGCTAAGGGACCCACGGGCGAGGAGGGTGGAGGGGGATGGGGTGGCATCGCGCTCCCTCTCCCTTCTTTGTTCCTCTTTGTCTCTTTGACCTGGCCTGCTCACAACCTCAGTGTGTGTGTTTGGGGGGCGAGGGTTGGTGAGTGAATGAGTGGATTTGATTGGCCCACTCATGTGCCGGTGCCAGGCCAGTAGCCCAGTGGTGATGGGCCGCCCTTGGTTCAGCAGCTGTGCTGGGGGCCGGCGGGGTATACAGAGGCTAGCTACCTGCAAGACCCTCTGTCATATGGAGGTGGCAGAGGGGTGGGAGGGACCCAGAAGACAGAGGAGTGGCAGGAATTTTGGAGGAGAGTTGAGCTTCCAGATCAGCGCAGGCACCACCTCCTTCTCTGGCTCCCAGCCCCACTGCTGCCCTGTAAGAGTTAGTGGCTTTACTGTTACCAACTGGCCAAGTCTGTCCCCATATCCACCTGGGGTCTCCTGGCCTGGGATCACGCCTGGTTCATCTCTGTGGCCCCAGCATTGAGCACAGGGGTTGGCACACGGGTGTGGCCGGAAGATGCTGTGTTGAATGAACAAGTGAATGAATGAATGAATGAGTGAACGGATGAGAGTGAATGAAGAGGGAAGAGGAGCCCCCGCGCCCTCTCACGTTCATTGTTGGACTCGCTTGGGGGATTTTCCTTCCTCCCCCGTTGGGCCCAGCGCTGACCTGCTGGGTTCTACCTGGGCTCAGCAGCCCCAGCAACGGGCCCGGCGTGACCCCCTGTCGCGGCACCGGGATGGGGAGGCCGGCTCGCAGCCCCCGCCTGCGGCGGACTGAGCGTGCAGATGCGCCTGCACATCAGCATGCTGAACCCCCATCTCTCGTAAGGTGTTAATTAAATTTCTTTGAAGTATATTGCCTGAAAAAAAAAGGATAATTAGAAAGATGTCTTTAAAAGTATTTATGTAACTGATATGGTCCCGCTTTTGGTTTGTCACATAATTAGATTTAAACACAACTAACTCCTCGAGCGGCATACTCATTTGGAGAGAGCCGCTCGTTGAAATGTCATTGCATTGTTTTTAAGAGTTTTGAGCCTGGCAAAATCATTCAGGGGAGAGGCAGAGAGTGGGGGCGGGGGAGGGAGCATTCGTTCCCTGGGACACGGGCCACTTGCCCGGTGTCCTCACTGTGAGCAGAGAGGCTGCGGCGGCCCCCCGGGGAGCAGGGACATGCATCCGCGCAGCTGTTTTAATTTTCTCAGTGTTTTTGCTTAGCAAGGCTGCTCCATTTTACAGACAAGCAAAGCAAGGCCATGCGTTTTGTTTAGGCCTCGCTGAGTGACCAGACAGGCGGCAGAGCTGGCATTTGAAGCCTGGCCTTCTGGTTTCAGGACTGTTCTTTGACACCCCCTTGGAAGCCCATGTTCTCAGGAGGGTCAGACCGCCTCAGTTTTGAAAAATTGCCTCTTCTCACTTGTGCCTCTATTTCACGTGTTCCCTCGAAGTCCCCTTGTCACCCGTGGCTCTTCTGGGAGGCTGCTTGCTCCCAGCACGGCCCTGGGCACTCATTTTGGTCCACTGGACCATGGACTTGGGTCCTTACATTCTCGCTGGGGTCCACAGTGCGCCCAAGGGAGTGAAAACTGGTTTTGGGGTTGGAAAATCCTTATCCCCATTTTTGTAAAGGCAGACCTGCAGGCAGTCCATGGCCCCGTGACTGTGCCCGTGACCGCGGTGTCTTCTCTCCCCGTAGGGTGGACCCCGTGCCTCATGACGCCCCCAAGCCGCCTGGCTACACCCGCTTTGTCTGTGTGTCTGACACCCACTCGAGGACAGACCCCATCCAGATGCCCTACGGCGACGTGCTGATCCACGCCGGGGACTTCACGGAGCTGGGGCTCCCGAGCGAGGTGAAGAAGTTCAATGAGTGGCTTGGTAGGTGCCGGGCAGCAGGTGGGCTTCTGCCAGCGGCCCGGCCTGGGGCCGCTCAGTGCCCGGCCGCCCTTCCTCCCTGCTCTGCCCACTGCCCCTGCCCGGCCTCGGCCTGCCTGTCCCCGCGCCCTCCTCGGGAAGCCCTTCCTGACCTCCGGACGGGTCGCAGCTCCCTCACTCTCACGTCACACCTCGGCCACCTCCCACCCCGGCCCTCATCTTAGCTGTGACTTTCCATTTGTTTGCGGGGATAGTGGGCCCAGGAGACCCCCTCCCGATGGGATTTTTTCCCAGGTGTGCCTTGCACGTCCAGCCCCCAGTGCGTGGTACAGGTAGGTGCTAAATACATGGGGGAGGAATGAGTGAGTGAGCGAGTGAGAGGCTGAGCGGTGAGTGGACGAACGGCTGCCTGGGAACAGTGATGCCAGGGCAGGCGCTCAGCGGGCACGTACTGGCTCAGCCACCTACGCCCATCGGATGGCGTCCCCAGTAAGGGGACCCCCGGGCCTCTGAGGCCCACAGCAGGGGCCTGGGGACCAGGCGTGGGCTCCCGAGGGCAGCTGTGGGCGCAGCCCCGAGCGCTGTCCAAGGTGGTGGCCGTGATTTACAAGACGCCTCCCGGGTTTTGTCTGCGGCTTTTTACTTTCCTCCTAAATAAGAAAGACTCAGACCTGGGGTGTCCCCTGGGGAAAGCCGCGTGTTTGGAATCCAGAGAAAACTCACCGTGAGTCCCCGGGGAGGGGGCACAGATGGGCCGGCCCCGCCTACTGGCCTGCCGGCTCAGAGGCACGGGTGTGGGGCCAGTCCGCTGCGCGCCCCCCGCCCCCCCCCCGCCTCCGCGCAGCCCCGCTCCCTGGCCAGACGGGTGCCCCGCCGGGCAGTTGGCTGGGAGCTGCCTGAGCAGAGGGGCCGGAAGCGAGGCGGCAGCTGCGGTGAGCAAGAGGCCGGCTTTGCCAGTTGAGACAAATATTTACAAGCAAGGCCTTCTCCTCCGCTTGGCAGGCTCAGAGCTTCCAATATTGATTTTTCAAGTGGGAAATTCTAAGCGAGGGCCCGTTCCGGCCGACCCGTGAAGGCTGGGGTGGGACAGGGCCCCTGCAGGGTGGGCCTGCCGCAGGCTCCTCCCCTGGCCCGGGGCTGCTCCAGGGTCTGGGCCGCCTCCCGGGAGGGGCCCTCTCTGAGCCCGGCGTCGTGTCTTCGGAAGACGGGCGGCCCCACTTGGCTGGGCCCAGGGCCCGTGTCCAAGGCAGGGGACGGGAGTCCCTGTGTGCCAGGCTCCTCAGCACCACTGCCTGGTTGAGTTCGGGGAACGGCTGTTTGGGGTGGACTCTTTGTGGGCAGAAGAGGATGTCGCGATATCACGGCGCTTCTTCCTGTCCCTGCCCCCCCTGCACTGAGGTTTTTAGGGTGGGGATCTTTCTGATGGGCGGCCCCTGCGCTCCCCTCCCCTCGGTGTGTGTGGGGGGGCGGTGAATGAGCCCACGCTGGCCTGCGCGGCGGGGGTGGGCTCGCAGGGCCCTGGGAGCACAGCGTCTCCTGCAGGCGCCAGCCCCTGGGAGAAGCTGACTTGGGGCTGGGCCTCGACGGAGGGGCTGGGAGTTTGTGCAGAAAGGGTGCCACCAGGCTGAGGGGACGGCTGGGGCCCAAGCGGGCGGTGGGTGCCTGAGGGGAGGCGTCGTGTGCCCTGTGGCTGGAGCCTGGAAAGAGCTGGGCCTGGCCGGAGCCTGGTGGGGGGAGGGGCGGGACGGTGAGATGGGCATCAGGACGATCCCTCCGCCTGCCTCGTCACAGATGTCAGAACAGTGTCCACAGGAGCGTGGGGACCTTCTCCCTCATTTGCACTTGGAGTTGGATGGATTTATTGCCTGAGTTACTGGGGGCGGGAAGGGTGAGCTTACAAGGGGTCTTCCTTTTACAGAAGGTTCCTCTCGCCTGGGGCTCTCCCCTTTGCTGCCTTCGGGTGTTTGCAGGCGCCAGTGCTTGTCACTCAGGTGGAGTGGGGGTGGGGAGCTCCACATGGGCCCGGGAGCCACCCTGACCTGGATGGAGCGGCGGGGGGTCTGCGTGTGTGTGAGAACTTCGGTGGGCGCTGGCATATGCGGGTCCAGCTGCAGCCAGCTGGGGGGGACTTGCCCTGGCACAGAGTGAGACTCCCCGCTGTGGGCTGGCTGTCCGGTCCCCAGGGGTGTGGTCCTTGTGGCCGAGAGGCGGGCCGTGCGCTCACTGGGCATAGCCAGGTGCCCTGCCAGGCGTGTGCTTACAGAGAGCGGGTGTTTGCTGAGCGCACGTGTCCCGCGGGTTTTTTATGCCCTTCGGTGCCTGCTTTGTGTGTTGTTAGTATCCAATCGTTAATCCTCCTGACAACAGAATGAGGCAGGACTATTGTCACCCCCATTTTATGGAGAAGAAAACCGAGGCCCTGAGAGGCAGAGCGACGTGCCAGGGCTGCGCGGCTAGTGAGAGGTGGCGCCGGGATTCCAGCCCCGGCGGTCAGACTCGGAGCCGAGCGCGCGGTGCCTCCACGGTTCCCTTTCTTGGCTTTTCTTGGGGTGAACCCGCTCTGGTTCCAACTCAAGGTGTGCGGCGCGCCCTCTGGGTGCAGGCGTCCGGGGTCTGCTTCCCGCCCACGGTCGCGGCAGCCGCATGTCCTCTGTGAGCCTCAGCCTCCTCGCTTCAGGTGGGGGCGGGAGGCTCCCCCGGCCCTGCTCGCCTCCCAAAGCGGTTCTGAGGCTTCGCTGGGCTGGAGGAAATGGTGAAGGCGTGTAGACTGTTGAGCACCGTGCAGGTGTTGTTGCTGCCTCTCTGACCTTTGCTGGACCATGGCTCCCTTTGGGTAGAGGTAGGGGCCGTGGGTTGGTCCCACAGAGGCAGGGACCTTTGGCTCGAGCCCAGAGGTTGTGCAGGCAGGGAGAACAGTAGGAGAGGTTGTGCGTAAAAGAGCGTGGATTTTTTTTGAGAAATGTGGACATGCGACCTTAGCTATGTCAACAGCACATGCACATGGAGAAGACTGGAAGGAGATATTCACTCGTTTATTCAGTATGCCTTACTGAGAACTCCCTGTGTGCCAGGCACTGGGGTGAGTGTAGGGACAGGGACAAGCCCCGCTCCCATTCCGGCAATGGGCAGATGGTGGCTTGATAGATACACAAGAAGCAGTGCGCGCTGTCTGTGGAGAGCCAGCCCAGGGCGCGTGGTGGTGCCTGAGTGCCATCCTGGAAGGCCTCCCGGAGGAGGTGACCTTGGACGAGGGATGGAGGATGGGAAAGAGGCAGAGGTGGGAGCAACGTTCCAGGCTGAGGGCTCAGCAGCTGCAAAGGCTCCGAGGTGCAGCGGAGGGCAAGGGGAGCGGTGGGTGAGGAGGGTTGGGGGAAGGGGTGCCGGTTCGCACGGGCCCTGTGGGCCCAGGACAGGAGTTTGGGGCTGATTCCGGGCGCGATGGCAGTTTGGGGGTTTGATGTAGGGAAGGGACCTGCAAAACTGTGGGCAAGGCCTGGCTTGCAGAGCAGAGCGGAGCAGCGGGCCAGAGCCGGCAAAGGCCCTGCGATGCTCCGGAAGTCATGTCCCGGTGGGGGCTTGCGAGGTGTTCTCTTCCTTTTTCTTGGTTCTCTCTTCTTCCCCCTTGATTTTTTGCAAAAAGCATATGTTTTCTGGTAGCACCGAATAAAAGCAACACTGAAATCTCATGGTCTTTAATGAAATGTGGGCCCCTCCGGTGTCCAGCGTGGCTGCCCCAGTGTAGGGGTGGGGGCAGCGCCAGCCTCCCGTCGGTCCTGGGGTCACGTGGCCCCTCAGGAGGCCTCCCCGAGCCCCTATCCCAAGCCCACCGGCCGGGCCCTCTGGAGGGGGGTGGAGTCCTTCCCTGTGAGGACACAAGGCTGAATTCTGCCCCTGCTTCTGGGTGACAGCCACGCCTTCAAGATCCATCAGTTCGGGAGCCAGGATTTGCAAGATGCCAGGAAGTCGCTCTTGCTCTCGCTGTCTGTGAGGGGCAGGTGCTGGGCTGGCATTGCCCCCCTCTGCCCCCCGCCCCTCCAGCCAGGTGGCGCCTGCGCCCCTGCACGCTCACTCCCGCGCGTGGCCCCAGCGCCCACAGCCTCGCCCCTGCCCTGGCCTAGGGACTGACCGCCTGAGGCCACTGGTGGGTTTGTTTTCTCTGCTGGCCCCTCCAACTTGGCCTCTCCTCCCCCGTTTCCATGCCAGTCCCCTCTCTGGGCACCGTCTTCTCTGCCTCCCTTGGTTCCTTGGTCTCCTGCTCATGGCTCCTTCCAGGGCCTGGCTTCTCAGCCACCTCCTTTTTCCCACGTGAGAATCACTTAGCCCCCCGCCAGAGCTCTCACACCCACCCAGACCTATGGAACACTTCTGTCTCTCTCCCCAGCCTAGACCTCTCTTTGAGATTCTGCCAGCATAGTTCCATCTTTTCAGAAGACACCTCCTCTTGGCTGTCCACCAGGATTTCAGACTTGTTCTGCCCCAAACTGAACCCCCAAACCTCAGACCCATCCCCATAGGCTACGCTGTAAGGTGCAGCCCTCCGGGGCGGTGTTTGAGACCCTCCCCACCTCAGCTCCCGCGCCCCTTCTCCCTTCCCTCTGAGGCGGGTATCAGCCTCCATCTGTTATTAATCTGACCCCACTGTTGTCTGCCCTGCCTGCTGTCCTCTCCACTCACTTGTATCACCTGCAGAGCCCGCGAGGGGCTTCCCTTCCTCCTGCAGGTCCTCCAAGGCCCCCCTTCCTCCTGCAGGTCCTCCAAGGCCCGGCCCAGCCCGGCCCAGCCCGACGCCGCTGAGGGGACTGGGCAGGCGGTGGTTGAGTCGGCCTGGAGAGGTCCGCAGGGCACAGGCTGAAGTGTCTCATTAAGTGGCACAGCCCTCCGCAGAGCCAGGCAGGGGAGGAAGGCGAGGGCCCCGTAATGGTGTATTTAGAAGTTATAATTAACTTTTTACTGGCGTCCTAGCATAAAACGATATATAAGACAATATAAAAGGGGTCCAAGGA